CTTCCAGCAAGTCACCTGCAGCCCCTGGAGGCAGAGTCTGCAGGGCCCCCGGGAGCCCTCACTGAGTCTGCCCAGCCCGGCGCCCAGCCCAGCCCAGCGAGCCCTGGTGCTCCCAGGCCCTGCTGGCCACCGTGTCCCCATCTGAGAAGGGCAGCCGGGGCCTGCAGACCAAGCTGCTGAGGTGATTGCCAGCCATCCAGTGTCCCTGGCCCTTGGTGGCGCCCCATGGGTAAACTGAGGCCTTGAGAGCTCAAGAAACTTGTCCAAATCCACCCAGTAAGTCAAGGACAGAGTCGAAGTGAGTTTCCAAATCTGGACCCCTCCCTGGCTCTGCCTGGGCTGGAGACTGGAGCATCCAGGACAACAGGTCAACCCATCCCTCCAAAGTGAGCCTTCCCGGCTCACTGTTTCAGCACATGTCACCTGCTGTGTCCCCTTCACCCAGTTCCCCAGGTGGTGAGGGAGGCACAGAGGAACCAGGCAGCTCCAGGAGGCAGCGGGCGCAGAGAGCAGGCTGGAGGGATGGTAGTCAAAGAAGGCTTCTCGGAGGAGGCGGCTCTAAGGTCCATGGCAGGAATCGGCCTAGTGAGGAGGTAGGAGAGAAGCGTGTCGATGCGGGGGGACTGCAGGGTCAGAGGCCCAGAGGGGAGAAGAGACACCGGCCTGGAGAGCAGGGAGCTCAGACACCAGGGTGGGGTGGGGAGCTGAGGTTGGGGAGGGAGGCACACGCCAGTGCAGGCCACAGCTTGCGGCTCTGAGTGCTGTCAGAGGGCTCCATCTGACCGGCGATCCAATCTGATTTAATGTTTAATGACTTTACTGGCCACGTATCTGATCGTTTAATGTTTAATTACCAGATAAATGACTCTGGCTGCTGGAGCAGGTGTGAATGGGGAGTTGGATACCGGTTGGGACAGTTGTCCAGGCAAGAGATGGAGGTGGCAGAAGGATGGAAAAGAGATAAGAGATGATTAAGATGCTGCGTGTTGGCCGGGCGCGGTGGCTCACACCTGTAATCCTAGCACTCTGGGAGGCGGAGGTGGGCGGATCACTTGAGGTCAGGAGTTCGAGACCAGCCTGAGCAAGAGCGAGACCCTGTCTCTACTATAAAATTAGAAAGAAATTAATTGGCCAACTAATATTTAGAAAAAAATAGCCGGGCTTGGTGGTGCATGTCTGTAGTCCCAGCTACTTGGGAGGCTGAGGCAGGAGGATTGCTTGAGCCCAGGAGTTTGAGGTTGCTGTGAGCCAGGCTGACGCCACGGCACTCACTCTAGCCTGGGCAACAAAGTGAGACTCTGTCTCAAAAAAAAAAAAAAAGATGCTGCGTGTTACGTCCTCCGAAAATACATGCACTGAGAAAATACATGCACTGAGGCCCTGACCCTCAGACTGTGACCTTATTTGGAAATAGGGTCATTGCAGATGTGATTGGTTAAGATGAGGTCACATAAAAAGGGGAAGTTGGACACAGACACGTGCACAGGGAGAACACGTGTGGGGATGAAGGCAGACTGGAGGGATGCTTCCACAGGCCAAGGAATGCCAAGATTGCCAGCGAACCCCCAGAAACCGAGAGAGGCCTGGAACAGACAGTCCCTCGGAGCCTGTGCAGTGACCAGCTCTCTCAGCACCTGGATCCCAGCTTCCAGCCTCCAGAACGGAGAGAGGATGAATTTCTGCCGTTCAAGCCCCTAGTCGGTGGCCCTTTGTTTCAGCAGCTCCCAGAGCTACACAGAAGGAAAGAGCTGGCTGGACAAGGCGGGGAGGGCAGTTAAGGCAGTGGCGCCAGCTGCGGTCACCAGCAAGCCCCCATCTCCGCGCTCAGCACATAGATGTTAATTTCTCATTCAGAGACCCTTGGTGAGCGGGCACCCTCCACAAGGTGGGTGGCCCCGGGATCTAGGTCCCTCCACCCTCCTCTAGGCCCCGCCACCCCTGCCATTCGTTGGTGAATGGAGAAGAGAGAAACTGAGGCAGTTGCCGGCCAGAGCGGGCCGGGGCTTTCCACACTTAACACCCAGGATCTTGTGAAATACAGGAGCTGAAGGAGCCCTGGGTGGGGTCTGAGAATCCGTATTTCTAATAAACTGCCTGGTGACAATGACGGTGCTGGGACCAAGGCCCGAACTTTGAGTACCAGGCTGTGGCCCTGCCATTGCCCTGGACTCACACCCCGTGTGAGAGGCAGGGAGTGGGGTCCCGAGGTCCCTGCAGGAGCTGGAGGAACTGGCGGCAGGAAACACAGCTGGGAGCAGGTGGAGACAGGAGGGACACAGCTCTCCCAGAGGAGGGACAGGGCAGAGGGCCTGGGGCAGGTCATGCCTAGGGCCTTAGGGCCCCTCAGCAGGGGGCCTCTTTCTGACTTCCCCAAAGTCCCCTCCTCTAACCCCAGAGCTCCCAGGGCTGCCCTCAGGGCCTCAGAGGGGGAGAGGGGCCGAGCTGGGAGGGAGGCCTGGCCTGGTCACCTCTCCCTGGGCCTGCCCAGAAACACCCCGGGAGCTCGATGCACACAGAACAGTTCCACTGCCACTTTTGCCTTGGTGGCCCTGCCGTGCCCCTGCTGTGAAGGATGGGCCCCAAATGGAACTTATCTCCACCAGCAGACGGGGACAAGGCGATTCACTGGCTCATGCCCCAAAGGGGGCAAGTGCAAGGCCGACCCACGCCAGGGTTACTCCTCCGCCACCCACGCCCAAGTCCTCCGCTCCTTTCTCTCTGCCGCCCCCACGCGGCCGGTCTGCGCCGTGACTCCGCCGCCCTCCCAGGCGACAAGCCAAGCCGGCGCCTAAGGTTCACCACCTTCCCGGTGTCAGGCCCTGCTGACCCTCGGCTGCCCGCCACCTGCCCCCCCCCAGCCTCCCGTCTGTGAAGTGGGACGCTGAGATCCCACTCTGGAGGTGTCGGCTCACGGCAGGGCCACGGGCGTGCAGGCAAGACGGAGCTGGCTCCTCTGCACCCAGAAGACCCCAGCAGTGTGGGCTGGGGGCAGGCCTCAGAGCCCAGCTCTTGGATCAGACTGAGTGAGTTTGAATCCCCGCTCTGACACTTCAGAGCTGGTGACTGCCCACGGGTCAGTAGTGGCCTCTGAGCCCCGGTGGGCCCATCTGCAGAATGGGGAGATGGGACCTCTCCCCCGCCCCAGGCCCCCCCCCACCAGGGCTGCGGGAGGGCCAACACGCCTCTGCTTGCGGATTGCTGAGTGCCAAATGCTCGGGAAGTGGGCTGGGGAGGGCGGAGGGCTGAGGCCTTTCTTAGTTCTCGAAATTTCCATGAGGGACCTGAGATGAGCTTATGGCAAGGACACCCCCATGTTGGTGCTGCCAGCTTGGAACTGAGAGCCCCCTTCCTCTCATCCGGGCCCCCTTGTAGGAGACAGGCCTGGGCGGACTGGGCGGGTGTCACAGTGGCCCTGAGACGAGGGACAGTGCTCTTGGGCCCCAGGAAGGACGGCAGCTCCTCCGCCAACTCCTCCTCCACCTGATCCCCGTTCTGCAGGTGGGATCCTGCCCCTTCCGCAGGTGGCTGTGCCCTCGGTGGTGAAGCTCTGCCATCTCCCAGGCCCACCCTGCTGACACGCTCCGTGAGTCAGAGCTTGGGACCACGCCACCAAGACCCCCGCCGCGCTGCCCTCATGGGCCAGAAGGGAGAAAAGAGACCCAGTGGACACTTGGCCGCAGGCTGGTCCCTTGTCAGGGGGGCGTAGGCGGGTTCCAGCTTGGGGCCAGCGCGCGCTGGAGACTGAGAAGGGTCCCTGGGGAGGGGACCCAGAGGCTGGCCTAGCGTCTCCGCAGGTCCCTCTCCTTCAAATGCCTCCATCCCGCGCGACCTGCGGGAGGTGTAACTGCAGGATCCCCGCGGGTCGATCCCTGCCGTGGCGCCCGGCCTGTCAGAATCCTCCCTGCGCCCCCATCTTGCTTCTCCATCAGCCCCAAGACGGAGTGGGTCGTGGGGGCTGGAAGGCGGGGACAGGTCCGCCCGGGCGCGACAGGCTGGCGGGGACCTAGGGGCAAGGGGGCTGGGCGGGGCGGCCCGTTCTGAGCCCCACCAGCTCCTGCCCCAGCCCCCGCCTCCGCCCTCCCACGCACCTGCGCTGGCCTACCCCCAAGCCCCGGGGGCAGCGGGCGGGTGGCGCTGGGAGATCAGAGGACTCGGAGGAGCCAGGCCCAGGGGGAGGGGGCGGGGAATTTCCCCCCACGCCTGCCTGGGCCTGCTCCCCTCCCCCTCCCCTGCCAGGTGGGGGGCACCACTGGGGGAATTCCACCGCACGGCAAGGCTGGGAGAGCCAGGGCTGGGGGTCCCAGGGGGGGAAGGAAGGGGGAAGGGAGGAGGGGGTGGGCTGGGACCAGGGGCACAGCTGCCTTCCTCCCCAGACACCAGCTGCCCCTGCCTGTCCCGGACTGAGCGTCCACGATTCCCGCCCGTCTCTCGGGTGCTGGGCCAGGGAGTGGCACTTCCTCCTTCAGGCCAGTGGCGTCTGGACCTGAGGAGGGAGGAGCGCGAGGACCCGGAGAAAGTGCGCCTGAGCGCTTGATAACGAATGGAGACTGAGTGGAGCCGCGTGCGTGCACTTGAATGAGAGTGCTTATGGCCCGGAGACTTCGGGATGTCCCGGGCACGTGAGGCCGTGGGAGCGGGTTCTGTGTCACCCCTTTAAGGTCCTTCTCTCCGCTTGCCTGGCCTGTCCTCCTCCGCACCCTCCCACTTGAACCCGCACCGACCCCGAGGGAGAGGGGCGGGGCGGCGCGCGCTGGGATGCCGGGGGTCTGGGGGACGGGTGTGGGAGGCGTCTGGACCTGCTGCCTTCACTCCAGTCCGAGGCGGGGCTTCCCGGCCTCCCTCGTGGGGAGGGAGGGACCCAGCGGGGAGGGACCCGCGGAGGGACGCGAGGGGGGCAAGAGCCAGCGCGTTAGAGACCTGGGCGAGGAAGACTCAGAGCGAGGCGAGAGTGAAGAGGCTGTGTGGAGGCCGAGACACCACCCTGAGCACTGAGAGGCAAAGACTGAGAACGCCCCTGGCCAGACACCCCCCGGAGAGACCCCGGGTAGGGACGGGGGCAGAGAGACGCCTCCAGGGGCAGAGCCCCTGGGAGGCAAAGACCCCCCAGGAGATAGTGCCCCGTCCCAGACAGAGAGCGTCACCCAGAGTGGAACGAAGACAGACGGCCAGAGGACAACACCCCCCAGGTCGCCTGGGAGACCCCAGAGCGACCCCGGGGACAGCCCGGGCCGTGTCTGGGCGAGGGCGACCTCTCCTTGGTTGGGGGCGATGGGGACACGGGTCCTACAGGGCTTCCTCCTTCTCTTCCCGCTGCTGCAGCCGCGCGGGGCCTCTGCGGGGAGTCTGCACAGTCCAGGTGAGTCTGGGCATCGCGGCCGGCGGTGGTCACCACCCCCTCCTCGGCCTCTGCGTCTAGAGCCGGGCACCTCGAGGCCGGGGAGGAGGCAGAGCAGGTGGCTGGAGCAGCTGAGCAGCCCGAGGGCCCCCGCGGGGGCAGGTACGGGGCGCTGGCTGGGGACCCAGGCGCGAGTTAGGATGCCCGGCGTGGGTCCGGACCTCCCCAGACCCCGCCGTGGCCGTGCAGGCCTGTCCGAGTGTTTCCAGGTGAATGGCGCCGACTACCGCGGCCACCAGAACCACACCGGCCCGCGCGGCGCCGGCCGCCCGTGCCTGTTCTGGGACCAGACGCAGCAGCACAGCTACAGCAGCGCCAGCGACCCCCAGGGCCGCTGGGGGCTGGGCGCGCACAACTTCTGCCGGTGAGGGGCGGGGCCTGGGCTACCGCGGGGCGGGCGCGTCGCTGCCCGGGACGGCCTGGGGCGGGGCCTCCGAGTGGGCGGGTACACAGTTCGCCAGGAGACTCTGGGGGCGGGCCTATCTTGCGCTGGGGGCGGGGCGAGCCGCGCAGAATTTTTGGCCAAAGGGGTTGGCCATAGGTGCAGAACATCCGCAGAGCCAGAGGTCAGGGCCGGGAGACAAGGACCAGACCTGACACTCAAGGGGCCCGTGCAAGCAAGGCCTGGTCAGAAGGGGGCCCCGAAGTGAGGGGATGGGCTCTCGCCATACACCTTGAAGGGCGATGAAGGATTAGGGCTCAGAGCTACAACCGCTGTCTGGAGTGGCAGGAACCCAGAAGGTTCTTGCCGAACCGCAAAGCTTAGTGTTCACCACTTCTGCTTTTAAGCGGGGTCGTATGGCTGGGTGGGGGCGAGGACTGCAGATGGCCCCAAACTCCCCACACATGAGGTCAAGCCCTCCCAACAGCTGAAGACCTAAAACAGCCCTCAAGGCCCCTTTAATGACTTCCCACTGTCCGCTCGGAAGCACGTGGAGAAAACTGGAGTTTGGGAGGATGGAGAGGGCATGGCGCCTGACACGCGCGGAGCCTTGGCGGCCTGGGTTTGCTGCTCCCGGGCGGTGGGGCCTTGACCACCTCCCTCCCACCCGCAGTAACCCAGACGGCGACGTGCAGCCGTGGTGCTACGTGGCCGAAACGGAGGAGGGCATCTACTGGCGCTATTGCGACATTCCCACGTGTCACAGTGAGTGGTCCCGCTGGACAACGGGGAATGCTGCCGTGCCCGGGTGGAGGGTCCCTTTCGGAGGTGTGGGACCCTGACTCCGCTGCCCCCTCAGTGCCCGGCTACCTGGGCTGCTTCGTGGACTCGGGGGCGCCCCCAGCCCTCAGCGGCCCCAGCGGCACTTCCACAAAGCTCACGGTCCAGGTGTGCCTTCGCTTCTGCCGCATGAAGGGCTACCAGGTACTGCTCACAGGCCCAGACCAGTGACCCCTGACCTTGATCTCAGGACCCTGCTCAACTCCCAACACTCGGATGCCAAACCTAGAATCTAATTTCTGAACATCCAGCCGGATTCTTACTTCCGGCCCAACCCTAGGCCCCCACCACTCCGCCCCTACCCCCGCCCCTACCTCCGGGGTCACCCATTCTGTGCTCCCAGCTGGCGGGCGTGGAGGCTGGTTACGCCTGCTTCTGTGGGTCTGAGAGCGACCTGGCCCGGGGACGCCTGGCCCCAGCCACCGACTGCGACCAGATCTGTTTCGGCCACCCGGGCCAGCTTTGCGGCGGCGACGGGAGGCTGGGCATCTACGAAGGTGAGGAGAGGGCGAGGCTGAGGACCTGGGTTGGCCTGCGGGTGGGGCCCAGCAGGGCGGGGGGCCGCTTTGACCCGGAGCTCTGCGCGGCAAAGAGCCCGGCCGCCCCGCCCTGACCGCCAGCGCCGCCCGCAGTGTCCGTGGGCTCCTGCCAGGGGAACTGGACGGCGCCGCAGGGCGTCCTCTACTCCCCGGACTTCCCCGACGAGTACGGGCCGGACAGGAACTGCAGCTGGGCACTGGGCCCGCCGGGCGCCGCGCTGGAGCTCACCTTCCGCCTCTTCGAGCTGGCCGACCCGCGCGACCGACTGGAGCTGCGCGACGCGGCCTCCGGCAGCCTGCTCCGCGCCTTCGACGGCGCCCGCCCGCCGCCGCCCGGGCCGCTGCGCCTGCGCGCCGCCGCGCTGCTGCTCACCTTCCGCAGCGACGCCCGCGGGCACGCGCAGGGCTTCGCGCTCACCTACCGCGGTGAGCTCCGCCCCGACCCCGTCCCCGGCCGGTTACCCCTTCCCCGCCTCACACCCCTCTCCGCAGGGCTGCAGGACGCCGCGGAGGACCCGGCGCCCGCCAAGGGCTCGGCCCAGACCACCGCAGCGTCCCCCGACGGGGCCAACGCGAGCTGCAGCCCCAGGCCTGGGACTCCGCAGGCTGCAATGGGGGGTGAGGCGGGTGTGCGCGGTGGGAGGGAGTCAGGGAGCGGCCCCTCCCGAGCTCTGTCCTCACTGCACCGGTGTGCCCACAGCCCGCGTCTTCTCGACGGCGACGGCTGTCTCCGTGCTGCTGCTGCTGCTGCTGTCGCTGCTGCGTCTTCTGCGCCGACGGTGCGGGCGCTGGGGCAGGGCCTGAGGGCAGATCCGCGCCGGTACCTGAGTGCCCTGGGGCGCGTGGGACACCCCTGGTGGGGAGCTGGGGCCCAAGAGAGGAATAGGGCTAGGAAGGAACTCCGGGGTTCCCGAGGGGGCCGAGTTTGGGGTCCACACAGAGAATAGTACTGAGACTGCAGGATGCTGGAGGCAGGGGTGTATCCGGGTCCGGCTGACCTCTGCTCCCTCTCCAGGAGCTGTCTGCTGGCTCCGGGAAAAGGGCCCCCAGCGTTGGGTCCTTCCCGGGGATCCCGGAGAAGCTGGGCTGTGTGGTACCGTCGGCCCCGAGGGATGGCCCTGCCCTGCCCCACCGGGGACTCCCAAGCTGAGAGTCCTGCCTCAAGCTACCGGACACTGAGCGCCTCCAGCCAGAGCTCCTTGCGCTCGCTCATCTCTGCCCTCTGATCCGGACCTCCAGGGTCCGCTGGACCCTCTACCAGCAAGATGGACCCCTGAGACGCTATGCCACACCCTACCTCGGCCTTCTGCCTCTTAAGGGCAGCTCGGCCTCTGATCCTCAGAAGTTGGACAGGAAGCATCTGGTGCTATTATCGGGGACTTGAACTGACCCTCCCTCGGTGTTCAGGTGGGCGAGGGCAAAGGGCAAGAGGAATCCAGGCACCCCCTCCATGGACCTTGATGTGGTTTTAGGGTTCTTTAAGCCCATTTTGGGGTGGCCCTGGACTTCTGCCTCAGTGAGAGGTCAGAGATTAAAAAAATGGTCAGAAAGATCCACCAAAGACTTTGAATAAAGGGTCCATTTTGGTGTGGGCCTTCACAAGTTCTTACGCGGTGGGAGGAGCATATTAAGGAGGGTGCAGGAGCGGCGCCTGTGCCCATGTAAATGAAGGGTGTTCTGTGCAAGGAGTTCTGTGGGGCCGCCTGGAATGCAGAGGATGAATAACCGAGAGCACGGAAAGATGGGTGGGCGAGGTCCTGTAAGAGGGGGGCCGAGGAGGAGGGAGAAGGAGAACTGGGCAGAATTATGCCAAAGGGGAGCCTTCCTGCTCCCTGCTCTGCCCGGACTGGGTGGAGGCCAGCCTTTCTCCCCTCGCCTCCTGCCTCCTCTGTTTTCAGCCTGTCCTGTGCGGGGCCGAGGGTGCACCCTGTGGGTGATAACAGGGAGCAAGTTGGGCTGAGCCCAAGTTCCGGGGAGCCTGACCCGAAGGGCAGGGCCTCACCCGAGGGCCGCGGGCGCGTCAGGTACACCCTCAGAGGCCTGGGAACCTTGGCGCAGCTTTCTGCGCTCCGGAGGAGTCCAGCCAGCGGAGAGATCACCCCCGGAGTAGGGGCACTGCGGCTCTAGACTCGACCCGTCCGGCAGCACCTTGGACAGAGCCCAGTCTGCAGGGTGGAACCGAGTGGCGCGGCTGTGTCTTCTAGGGTGGGTGCCCAGAGGTGCAGAAACCTGGGGGTCACGCGGAAAGTCAGGGCGCGCAATGCTGAGGGACCAGAGGTGCCAGGGTCACTCCAGCAGAGCCCGCAGGACCCAGAACGTCAAGCCCTACGCCAATAGCCTCCCCATGCAAATGAGGCTGGGACCCCACTCTTTAAGCCTACGTAACGAGAGCCTGGGCGGCCTCGGGGCGGCGCTTCCCCGGGGGCCGCGCCCATTGGCCCTGCCGCGCAGACGTCGGGAACTCAGCGCGCGAAACGCGGGCAGGGCGGCGGAGGCTAGGAGCTGGGGCGGAGCCTGGCGTCCCCTCCCGCGTCCGGCCGCGCCCGACCTCCGGACTGCGGCGACACTGCTGGCCGCTGCCGCCGCCAGCTGTCCCTGCGGCGCTCCTGCCCCGGCGCTCGGGAGCCGGGCGAGGCCCAGCCTCCGCCTCGGCGCGGGGGCGTCAGACTCGCGCGTGCGCAGCGCGGAGGGGCGCGGGTCGGGACCCCCAGCCCCCAGCTAGCGCGTGCGCCGATCGGGCGCGGGCCGGGATGAGCCTCCGGGCGCGGCAGCCCCACTGAGGCGGCGGCCCGCAGGCAGGAGGAGCGCGGGCCGCCCACGCCGTGCGGGGCCATGGCGTTCCTGGCCGGGCCGCGGCTGTTGGACTGGGCCAGCTCGCCGCCACACCTGCAGTTCAATAAGTTCGTGCTGACCGGCTACCGGCCGGCCAGCAGCGGCTCTGGCTGCCTGCGCAGCCTCTTCTACCTGCACAACGAACTGGGCAACATCTACACGCACGGTGAGCCGCGTCCCGCAGCGCGCGTCCCACACGCACTGCCGCCCTGTCCGTGCCGGGCCGGGGGCTCTAAGGCCAGGGAAAACCCAAGTCCTGGGCTGCCCCAGCCCTGGCACGACCAGTAGCCGCGGTGACAAAGCTGCCATTGTCCAGGCCGCGGTACCAGCTTCCGCCTTCCCAGCGCGGCCCGGGGTCAGGAGAGGGGAGCAGCGTGGGGGACTGAACCTGCTTAACTTAACTCCTCTGAGCCCCAGCGGCAGGGAGATTGAGGTCCGGCCCTTTGTAATCCCAGAGCCTTGGGCATCCTCCCCCGCCAGCACCCATCCCGGAGAGGGGTGTTGACTGCCCCGGACGAGAAGCCGGCCCCAGCCACTCCCCGTGCAGCCACCCTGACGCCCCTGCCCCAGCAGCTGTCTTGGGCTCCGCCTGGTGGCTGCTCTTTCCTCCCCCCCTCCGCAGGAACCCAGCCCCTCCTCCCCGGCCAGGGCTCTGCTGACACAGCCCTGCCCGTCCTTGAGCTGCCCCAGCAGGGAGAGGGGCCCTGGGCTGGCCGGACCCAACCTCAGCACATTTCCCAAGCTATTGCCTGGCCAGATCCCACCGAGAGTGGGCAGCCGGTGGCCCGTGTGAGGGCCAGGCCAGAGTGCCTGCGGGGAGGGCTGGACTGGGACGAATGGAGCTGGAATGGAGTTGGCAAGGAGATGGGACAAGCTCCTTTTGGGCCCCTTCCCCTCCTGTGGACTTGCCATCCCCTGCCTGGTCTGGCCCTTTCTGGAAGACAAAAAGGGTCATGGCCTGTTTGCCTGGACACTTATGGAGAGGGGAGGACTCAGGTTGAGAAGGGCAAGCTAGGTAGCCCGGAGCTGGTTTCACTGCCCTAGGACCTCTTCAGCACTTAGGGGCCTCCTGCCTGGGTGGGAGCAGGGTGAGAGCTGGCCTGTCCAGCCGCCGTCCTCGTATCTATTGCTTACTTGCTGGGCTGACCTGGGGCAGGTCACTCAGCCTGTCTGAGCCTCAGTTTCCTCCCTGCAAAGTGGGGATGATGCTCCCCACTTCCAAACACTGTCATGAGCCCTAAGCAACTGAAGTTTTGAAAAGCCTTTAGCCCAGGGCCTGCCTCAGGCCAAGGCCTGCTGGCTGCCGCTGGACAGCAGCATTCTCATGACCTCTGTCTTACTCCTGTCCCTCATGCTGGGACTGTCTGATGAATAACTGTCTCCCTCCCCTAGGGCTGGCCCTGCTGGGTTTCCTGGTGCTGGTACCGATGACCATGCCTTGGGGTCAGCTGGGAAAGGATGGCTGGCTGGGGGGCACTCACTGTGTGGCCTGCCTGGCACCACCTGCAGGCTCTGTGCTGTATCACCTTTTCATGTGCCACCAAGGGGGCAGCCCTGTGTATGCCCGGCTCCTCGCGCTGGATATGTGTGGGGTCTGCCTTGTCAATACGCTCGGTGAGTCAGGGCCCTGAGGGACGGGGTCGGGGGCACTCATATGAGCCCTGGGTAGGCAAGGGCAGGTGGACCCTCAGACTGATGTGCCCTCTCCTGCTTTCTCCCGTGCAGGGGCCCTGCCCATCATCCACTGCACCCTGGCCTGCAGGCCCTGGCTGCGCCCGGCTGCGCTGGTGGGCTACACCGTGCTATCAGGCGTGGCTGGCTGGCGGGCCCTCACCGCCCCCTCCACCAGCGCCCGGCTCCGGGCCTTTGGCTGGCAGGCTGGTGCCCGCCTGCTGGTGTTTGGGGCCCGGGGAATGGGGCTGGGCTCAGGGGCCCCGGGCTCTCTGCCCTGCTACCTGCGCATGGATGCGCTGGCGCTGCTTGGGGGCCTCGTGAACGTGGCCCGCCTGCCAGAGCGCTGGGGACCAGGCCGCTTCGACTACTGGGGCAACTCCCACCAGATCATGCACCTGCTCAGCGTGGGCTCCATCCTCCAGCTACACGCCGGCGTCGTGCCTGACCTACTCTGGGCCGCCCACCACGCCTGTCCCCTGGACTGACTGGAGGCTGTCCCCATGCCGGCTTGCCCATGGCCTCCTACTTCCTCCTGCTGGTCTGCAAGGGGCTGGCTCCCCGGATGCTTCCAGTGGACGGGACACCTCAGCTGGGAGCCCGCGTCTGCTCAGCCGTTCTCCCCTACAGACTAATCTCTTCTTCCACCCATGCCTCGGAGCTCCAGCTTCCTCTTCCTGCCTTCTCCCCCCAGGCTACTGTTCTACCGTGCCAGCTGGAAGGAAGCCTTTCCCTCTGGGCCTGTGTGTCCCCTGTGACCTGTGAGGGACTGTGGGGTCACATCTTGCTCTGACAGTTGGAGTCCTGGCAACTGAGCAGGTCTGCACCAGCACAGAGCTGTCACCCTTCCTTCCCCTCTGGCCCTTCCCACTGGGCCTTCCCACTGGGCCCCTCTTGGGTCCCTGGCCAGCCCATACTTCTGGCCTCCTAGCAGCCAGATGCTGCCCGACCCTTCTCCCTCTGTCCAGAGACTGGAGTAAGGCATTTGGGGCAGCAGGACCAAGTGGGCATTGACACTTCTTGTACCAGCTGGCCAAGAGGCATGAGGACTTCTGCCACTGCTTTTTCCAGGCAACTGGCGCTGGGCTTTGGGCCTTCCCTCCACCTTGAGTGCCAATGGCTCGACCTGCCCACAGGGGATGTGCTCGCTCAGGAAGTCTGTGCTCCACACAGTGTGTGGCTCCGTCTGACAGCCCAAGGCCTGAGGTCCTGGGTTCTCAGCAGGGCTCAGCCTCACGGCCCATCCAGGGACCTGAGATCCTGGGCAACACCAATAAAGGGACAGCAAGGGCTGTGTTGCCACACAAGAAAGCGTGGGTGTTCCCCAAATTCAGATATCTTTTATTAGACACAACCAGGCAAAAGGGGCCATGGAGCTTCCAGAGGGATCCAGCTTCCAGAGGGATGGGAGGGAAACAGGATAAAAGGCTAAAAGTGCAGAGGCCGAGCCTGGGCTCAGGTTGGGTCTAGGGAGTCCTCAAAGAGGCTGAGGAGGTTCCGAGGCTCAAAGGAGGGGAAGGAGCCCCGGGGAGGCTCTGAGTCGATGTCACTGAGGTCCAGGGCAACCCTGGGAGGAGGGAGGAAAGGCATGACACTCTGGATCCAAAAGCCAACCCTGCCTGCCCGTCCCCTGGGCCTGCTCACCTGGGTGTGTACCTGCTCCGGGGCGTGGAGGTGCTCCCTGCCCGTGCCAGGATGGCCTCCGGGGAGAGTGAGGGCCTGCAGGGGGGTGGGTGAGACAGGCAGGGTGTCAGGGGTGGGCGGCAGGATGAGACCAGCTCTGTCCCTACACAGGTCCCAGCCCCCTCCTAACAGGGGCAGGGAGCCACAGCTGGGGACAAAAACTTGGTGTACTTTGAAAGAAGCACTGACAGCTTTCAAAGTCCTTCCACCTGACCACACTCAAGGGCCCCCCTCTGTCCCTTTTCAGAACCTAAGGGCTTCAACCGAAGCGGGTTAGAAGTGAACTTTTAGTAAATGAAGAAAGTGCCCCCTGAGCGACGGGGTGACATTTTTGTGAGGACGAGGCTGGCAGCAGTGTTCCTCCTGAGAGCTGTGGCCCCGAGCATGTGGTTTTCCTTTGCTCCAGTTTCTTAATTACAGCCTGCCACTGTCCACCAGGCACCTGGGACTAAGGAATCCTCCCCAGGCAGGGGCTCACCAGGCTCCAAGAGGGTTTCTCCTCCCAGAGAAGGGACAGTGCCTTGTGTCTGGGAACTGGCAGTCTCCACTGGGAAGGGGGCTGAAGTGCCCGCCACCCCTGGCGAGATGGCGCCCTGCATGGGAGCTGTGCTGTGTGCAGCCGTGGGTCTGCCCGAGCTGTATTCACAGGCGGCCAAGCCACTCCGCCCCCCCACCCCCGTTCTTTTCCTGGGGTTGTGATGGGGGCCAGGTTTGTGGGAGGGGTTCCCATTCACCACTAATCTCCATGGGGCTGAGGCCTGGGCCTCCTCTGGCATGGAGTTTGGCCACCGTGATGTCCATCCCCACCCCACCACGTGTCCTGTGTTATCACCCACCCTGTGCTGCTGTCGTCCCAGTTGCTGGAAAGGCTGCTGTCCAGGAGGAGGCTGGAGGGCGGGGAGCCGGGCGGGGAGCCAGGCGGCGTGGCTGGCGGGCCCGGTGGCTGCAGCCAGCTGGCAGGGTGAGCCAGCCCATGCCAGAGCCAGCACAGCAGGGTGAGCAGGGCCTGTGGGGAGAGGGGCCTCAGGAGGCCGGGCGGAGCTTGGGGCTGGGAAGCAGGCCGGGCAGCCCATCACCACCAGGCACTTACCTGCCACAGGGCCCAGCCTCGACTCAAGGCCTCAGCAGCCATGTACCACAGGACGCTCCAGGGCCGCGGCTGCCTGAGCACGGGCAGGGCCAGCAGGGCCTCGGCTGTGGCCCGCAGCTTGGGGTCTGGCTCCAACATCATGACGAGGACAGAGCGCAGCTCAGCAGACAGACCTGCCCATGAAGCAGGGCTACATCAGGGGTCCCTGGACACTGACTGGGCCCTGAGCCTAGGAGTGCCCCCACCACCGGCCACTCTGTCCCTTGGAGCCCAGGGCCACATGCCCCTCCCACCTTTGCCCTGCACTCACCGGCAGTGAACTCGGGGGGCAGGTAGCCCTGGCGCAGCTGCTGCCAGCCTTCCCCACCATGGGGCAGCTCCATGTTGCATGCCACTTCCAGGATGGTGAGACCCAGACTGGGAGGGACAGGATGGGGGCAGTGGTCGCAGGGTTGGCCTAGGGACACAGACCCAGGCCTGGGCTGCCCCTTGGAGGAGGGTGGAAAAGGGCCGGTTTCTTCTGCCATTAGCCAGGGAGGTGAGGCAGGGCTGAGGGAGCCCCAAGGTGGCCCCGCGCCCCGTGCAGCCACACGCTCCGGCGCCCCGCTGGACAGGCACCGTGGCTGCTGGTCACCGTTGACCAGTGTTACTCTCATCCTGACGATCAGGGCCTGGGTGGGTCCCGGCGGTACCACCTGTTAACTGTGGGCCTCGGGCAAGTCCCTTAGCCCCCTGTGCCATGTCCTCCTGTGGATGGAGCAATAATGGCTCCTCCTATAGAGCTGTGAGGAGGAGGCAGGTCAGTGTCTGTTAAGCAGCTGCGAGGACTGGCTGCGTATGGACAGCCTGACTCCGGAGAGCCCTTGACCGAAGGGCAGGGGCAGCGCCCCTGCACCTGAGTCTGCACGTCTAAGGCGAGGGAAGGAGTCCCTCTGAGGAGTCCCTTTCTCTGCCAACTGCCCCTAGGAAGGCCTTCCACAGCCTGGGACCCTTGTGCATCCCAGTCCTCACCTGAATACGTCCGACGCTGTCCCATAGGAGCCCTGCAGCAGCTCAGGGGCCATGTAGCGAGGGTCTCCCTCCTGGGCGTCGCTGGCCCCCGTTGTACCCAGCTCCACCAGCAGCCCGAAGTCACCCAGCTTGCAGCGGCCCCGGGGCCCCAGGAAGATGTTGGCGGGCTTGACATCAAGGTGGACCAGGCCTTGGCCGTGCAGGTGGGCCAGGGCGAGCAGAGCGTCCCGCAGGTAGCCCCAGACCTGGGCTTCGGGCAGGCTGGCGCCCCAGGCCTCACAGTGCTGCTGCAGGCTGGGCCCGCACAGCTCCGTCTGCAGGTACAGGATGCCGCTCTCCTCCCAGGCGCGCTCCAGCCGCACGCATCGAGGGTGCTGCCCCACCTTCTCGTGGCCGCCTACCTCTGCCAACTTTCGGGCACGGTCCTTGGGACCCCGGAATGGTGACATGGAGCGCTTTACAGCATAGAGCCGGCCGTCTTCCTTGGAGCGCACCTGGAAGGGAGGTGGCAGGCGCAGGCAGGGTGGAGGGCAGGCTCCCAGCGAGTGCACCAGTTGGGGGGTAACCCAGCAGATTCCATTAAGGTGTCACACGTGTAGGGAGGCAGAACAGCTGCGTGTGTCTCAGGGACTCCAGTTCTGCCCACTGCAATGGCAGAACTGGACACCCCTCCATCCACGGGGCCTGGCTGGCTAGAGACCCAGCGATGGGAGAGATGGGGCAGACCTACTAGCGCTGACCCAGAAAAGTCTCTCGGACATGCTGAGAAGCGAAAAGGCTGCCCCGGAACACCACGGGCAGGCTGCCCTGCTGTGGGAGAGCAGTTTCCTCTGGGAATAAGAGCTGATCCAGAGGCCTGTGTCGTTGGCACTTTTTTATTTACTTATTTATTTATTTATATTTTGAGACAGGGTCTTGCTCTTTTGCCAGGCTAGAGTGCCGTGGCATCACCATACCTCACAGCAACCTCAAACTCCCGGGCTCACGCGATCCTGCTGCCTCAGCCTCCCGAGTAGCTGGGACTACTGGCGCATATCATCACACCCAGCTAATTTTTCTTTCTTTCTTTTTTATAGAGATGGGGACTCACTCTTGCTCAGGCTGGTCTCGAACTCCTGGCCTCAAGCGATCCTTCTGCCTCAGCCTCCCTGAGTGCTAGGATTACAGGCATGAGCCACCACACTAGGCCTGTTTATACTTTTTAACAAATTGTCTTCATACAATACTTATGCAAGGGAAAACTACCATTTTAAAGAAAATGTAAATGATTGGAAACTATATTTTAAGAAAATATAAAGTGGCAGGCAGGGAGTACCCTTAGAGCCTGCCAGGCCCAGGCAGGCAGAACTCGCCAAGGACCCCAGCACAGCTGGCGCCAGGGCAGGAGGAGATGGCAGCCAGAGCTGCTGCGGCTGTGCCAGGCTGCAGACAAGGGCGCAGTGTGCACTGACCCTCAGGGGGCCTGCGTGGGGGCTGCGAGAGCAGCCAAAGCAAAGCCTGGTGGCGGGTGCGGGCCGTCAGGGGGACAAGGGGCGCAGGCTGCTGAGGGCACTGTCCTGGCCAGGGAGGGGTAGGGAGGCAAAGGGGCCCCTGATGGGCCTGGGAAGCTGCCCCCCAGCCCCCACACTCACCTTGAAGACCTCTCCGTAGGAGCCATGGCCCAGGCGGCTGAGCCTCTGGAAATTCTGCTGGAAGAAGGACTCTGGCCTCCTTGGGTCATACCCGGGGCTCTGCAGGGTCTCTGAAGCCTCACCCCGGAACGACACCCTCCGGGGCTGGGACTGGTGCCAGCCTGGGGTCCGAGGAGGGAAGAGGCGGCTGATGGGGATGCTGCCCTTGGCAGGAGGCCGGGGCGGGAGGCTCCGGCTGAGCCCTCCAGGCCTCTTGAGAGAGAAGCCAGGTTCTGCATGGCGGAAGTAGGCTGGGACTGGGACAGGGGTGCCGCTCAGGGGTGGCGGGGTGCCCTCCGTGGGCACAGGCATGGCTAGCGCAGGAGGCTTGGGGGCAGAGACAGAGGCTGAGTCCACTCAAACAGCGCCTGGTCCTGTGACCCCAAAGACGCTGTGGAAGAGAGCCGCGTCTACACCACACACAAGTTCTGCCTTAAACATGAAGGCCGTGAGGGTGATGAGCACCTACCAGGAAAAAACAGAGGACAGATATATACATACCTGTATACTGGGCTGTTTGTATTTTGGAGATTCTAGAAGTATAAAATGAAATCCACGGGGCCGGGTCCTTGAGGGTCTCCCGGTAGTCCAGTAGAGAGGTTAAAACTGAGGTGGGTTCCGGAGTCAGACCACCTGCATGTCCGTCCCCACGTCATCTCTACTGTCCCTGAGCTGTGCAGCTTCTTCCAAGACCGTACGATGGAAATATTCACACAGGCCAATCATTCCTTAACTCCAATTCCAAAGTAAATAAACCTCTGAATTCCAAGTTTCTTTCTTTTCCATAGTTATGGTACCAAAACTCATTTAGTGGATTCCACATCCAGATGGCAGCATGAGGAGCCCTGCGGACCTTCCCTCCAATAATTATTCCAAATCAAGCATGTAAAGTCTCTGGGTGTGGTACTAAGAATATATAGAAAATGAAGAAACACGTATATAAGAAAATCTGCCAAATCTTGATAAGAACATGGAGCATGTTGGCACCTGGGCCATGACATTCCTCCCCTCCCCCCCAAGCACCACCACCCTAGCACTGGGGGCAGGTGTGGCCAAGAAGATGGGCCCCTCCCCCCCAGCTCCCAGTCTGGGGTGAGGGTATCTGCCCGGGAGGGCCAGGCTCTCAGCATTTCTCTCCCCTCCTAGTTCCACATGGCAGAGACTACATTTGAGCTGCATGTGGCATCTAGGTTAGGGGCTCCCTTCTTCCACCTGCCCCCACTCGCAGAGGGGAGGCTCTACCTCGGGGTCCAGCAGGCTGGGAACACGGACCCCCAATCACCCAAGCCCCAGCTCATTTGTAGGAAGGAAGATCCACACTGGGAGAGGCAAACCAAGAAGGCCAGAAGCTACTGCCCCTGACCCACCCCCATGACCTGCTTCTAAGGCAGTTTACTCAGAGAAGCGCACCAATGTCCTGCTCCCAGCTCATAGCATGGGCTCAGAGATTTTGCTCAGGGAGAGAAGCAGGTTGTAAAACAGAGAGCTCTGAAGCTCTCTTCTTGAATAATTGACTTTGTCTGAAACAGAGTGTGGGGAAGTTCGAGCCTACAGGTGCTATCAAAATCAAAGGAGGTGGGAGGCTGAGGCAGGAGGATCACTTGAGCCCATATTGCAGACAGCTATGATGACACTACAGCACTTTATCCTGGGCAACAGAACAGGATCCTGTCTCAAAAAAACAAAAACAAAAAATAAAGAAAAAGGAAGGAAGGAAGAAAATCAATCGGGGTCCTGGTGATGAACAATGAAGAGGAGGCTGGTACTTATATCAGAGCAAAAAGCTAAGCCATAGGCCAGCTAGTTTACCAAAGAGAAGTGAGTAAAGGGATAGCTAAGAAGAGCCTTCCTGTAGTTAGAACAAATCTTAAACACTGACCCCAAAAGCTACCCTGTGTTAAAGGAGCCCAAATTTAATTGGATCAGTCTGTGGAACAATTATGCCCTGTGGTATTGTCAAAAACGATACAGCACCTAACCAGCTATTGGTGGAGCCTAACAGCTGGGTATAATCAGGGAAAAGCCAGTCAAAAGGAACCTCCTAAAACCATTGTCATCCCAGGGTGGCTGTGCACATGCCCAAGGCAGCACCCTCAGAGTAGTGACATCAAGCATTCATGGTGAGGCCGGGCGAGGTGGCTCACACCTGTAATCCTAGCACTGAGAGGCCAAGGCCGGAGGATTGCTCAAGGTCAGGAGTTCGAGACTAGCCTGAGCAAGAGCAAGAGACCCTGTCTCTACTAAAAATAGAAAGAAAATTAATTGGCCAACTAAAATCTATAGAAAAACTTAGCCAGGCATGGTGGTACATGCCTGTAGTCCCAGCTACTTGGGAGGCTGAGGCAGGAGGATCACTTGAGCCCAGGAGTTGGGAGGTTGCTGTGAGCTAGGCTGACGCCACGGCACTCTAGCTTGGGCAACACAGTAAGACTCTGTCTCAAAAAAAAAAGAATTCATGGTGCAGGGGAATAGACTTCACCAAAATAGTCCAGCTGTCCACCAAACAAACAGGCAAACAACAATTACATGCCCTGGAAAAGGGTGAGGAACCTGTGTGCACAGTTGCTATAACATATTACCTAAAATGCCCAGTTTTCACCAAAAAACTACAAGATATGCAAAGACACAAGAAAGCGTGACCCATACACAGGAAAAACAAAACAGGCAGCAGAAACTGAGAGGGCCTAGTCTTAACAAAGACTTCAAAGCAGTCCTTATAGCTATGTTCAAAGAACTAAAGGAAACTATGTTCAAACAAGGAAAGGAAGGTATACTGATAACATGGTAGAGATAGAAATTATAAAAAGAGCCAAATGGAAAATGTGGAGTTGAAAAGAACAATAACCAAAATGAAAAACTCACTAGAGGCGTTCAACAGTAGATTTGAGCTGAAGAAATAATTTAAGCAACTTGAAGACACATCAATAGAGATGAAGCAATCTGAAGAACAAGGAACAGAGCCTCAGAGAAATCTAGAGACATATCATCGAGTGCACCAACATATACATAATGGGTACCTGAAGGAGAGAAGAGTAGGACCAGGAAAAAAATAGTTTTTCCTCTGTCCCTTTGAATTGGAAAGGAAAAATATTTGAAGAAATAATGGCTGAAAACTTCCCAAATTTGGTTTTAAAAAATTAACCAACACATCGAAGAAGCTCAACAAACTCCAAGCAGAATGAATGCAGAGATCCATATCCATACATAGACATGTCTTATTAAAAGTGCTAAAAACCAAAAATATGGAGAAAATCTTGAAAGCAGCAAGAGAAAAATGACTCATCACTTACAACCCCCAAAAGATTAACTGCTGACTTCTCATAAGAAACACTGGAGGCCAGAAGGCAGCAGGGTGATAATTCAAAGTCCTGGAGGAAAAATTTGTCCAGCAAAATGTCTTTCAAATATAAAGGCAAAGTAAAGACAATCCCACATATACAAAGACAGAAAAAATTCATTGCTAGCAGACATGCCTTACAAGAAATACTAAAGGAAAAAAAAAAAAAAAAAAGAAATACTAAAGGAACTTCTTCAGGCTGAAAGCATATGAAACCAAATATTAATTCAAATCCACATGGAAATACTAAGACCATCACCAGTAAAGGTGATTACACAATAAAAAAAGACAGTATAAGTGCAGATTTCTTCTTTCTTCTCTTAAATCATTTAAAAAAATCATTATGTACGCCTATAATCCTAGCACTCTGGGAGGCTGAGGTGGGTGGATCGCTCAATCAAGGTCAGGAGTTCAGCTCTTGCTCAGCCTGAGCAAGAGCAAGACCCCATCTCTACTAAAAATAGCAAGAAATTAATTGGACAACTAAAAATATATAGAAAAAAATTAGCCGGGCATGGTGGCGTATGCCTGTAGTCCCAGCTACTCGGGATGTTGAAGCAGGAGGATCACTTGAGCCCAGGAGTTTGAGGTTCCTGTGAGCTAGGCTGATGCCATGGCACTCTAGCCCAGGCAACAGAATGAGACTCCAAAAACAATAATAATAATAATATGTACATAACTGCATTGCTGGGCATATAACACAGTAATATAATTATTTGCAAATAATAGCACTAAGGAGGTAGGTGAATAACTGTTCTGAACTGGAAAATGACACCAGACGGCAAATCAAACCCACAGGAACAAAGAACCAGAAATGGCAAATGAGATCAGTATAACAAACATTAGCATACTTACTTGCTTTCCTTTCTTCTCTCAGCTTCTTTAAGAAATTGAAGTCCTAAATAAATGAAAAGACAATACATGTTTACCCTCCAAACCGACCCACAGATTCAGTGCAATCCCTATCAGAATTCTAGCTGGCTTCATTATAGAGATTGACAAGCTGATCCTAAAATGCACATGGAAATTCAAGAGACCCAGAATAGTCAAAATAATCTCAAAAGAGAATAAAGTTGGAGGATTCACCCCTCCTGATTTCAAAGCTTATTACAAAGCTACAGTAATCAAAACAGTGTGGTACTCACACTAGGATAGATTTATAGATCAAGAGAATAAAATTGAGAGTTTAGATTAAAACCCTCTTATCTATGGTCAGTAAATTTTCAACAAGAGTGCCAAAACAATTCAATGGGAAAGAATAGTCTTTGCAAAACATGGTCTAGGGACAATTGGACATCTACATACAAAACCAATTTGGCAGAAAAATCTGACCTGAACTACTTTTCCCTCTCGATGTAAATACTCATATATTTCTTGATAGAAATATTAATGTTGTTTGGTTATAGGATGATGTCCCAGACCTGCAAGTGGTGTTACATATATGTTATATGCACCTATTAGCTTTGTAAAATCTAAGACGTTTTGAATTCTGAACACATCTGGTGCCTGGGGTTTATGGACCTGGAATCCTGACCCTATGGAGGGTTCAGCCCAGTGTCTGGCATAAAAGCAAACTGCTATTATAGACGATGCTTTGGGCAGTTCCCACTGTAAGTGACTTTGTGTGTGAGGGAAGAGAGGGCTGTCATGTTGCTATAATGTTGTAATTGAAACAAAAACAAAAAAGCAAGAGAAGGGGAGTGGATTGGAGAGGAAGTCACAATGTATCAAGAGATGCCATAGCTAGCAAGGATGAGTCAGAAACAGGAGAGAGTGGTCATCTAAGCCTCCTACCCCTGAGGGAGTGAGTGGGGGAGGGAAAGGACCCTGCCAGGGCCTGGCTAGAAGACGCCCTATATCCTGTGGGGACCCTTCCTCTATTTACCTCAAGAATTCCATCCCAGGGTTTCTCAAAGTGAGGAGCCAGGTGTCAGGATCCGCAGGGCGCTGGTTAGAAGTACAGCCTCCTGGCCCAGCCCTGCGCACTCCGGGCCCCTGGGCCCCTGAATCTTTATTTTATTTTATTTTTTTTGAGACGGGGTCTGGCCATGTTGCCCAGGCTAGTCTTGACCTCCTGGGCTCAAGCGATCCTCCTGCCTCAGCCTCCCCTGTAGCTGGGACCACAGGCGCCCCTGCATCTTAAGCCAGTTTCCAGGCTGTCCCAGTGTCACTTACATCCAACACGGCTGGCCTGGCCAACAGCCTCAGGGGTGGGTTGGGGGAGGCAGAAGGAGCAGCGGCTCCGGGGTGACTCCAGGGTGGCCCAGAGCCCAGGCCAGGCCTGGGTGGCCTCCGCAGTTTCCGGGGGTCTCAGGACTCGGGCCTTCTTGCCTCACCCTTTCACTGGGCCGGACGCATCTGCCGAGCACGGTCTGCCGCTAGACTGCGAGTTCCTCGCGGGCAGGGCCTCGGCCCAGTTCACCTCCGTGGGGCGGGAAACGCTGGCGGACAGAGGTGAGCGCACCTGCTGTCACCGGGAGCGGCCTAGGGCGGGACTTGACGGAGCGCGGGCGGGGCTCTCCCGGGAGGGGCGAGTACAGTGGGGGCCGCCGCTGGGGGAGGGGCTGCCAGACCACAGGGGACCCCAGAAGGTCGGGACTGACGCCGGGAAGGGGCCGCCCCGGGGGAGGGGCCTGAGGGAAGTGGGCGTGGCCGTCGGGCGGGACGGGCCCAGGGAGGTGTTGTCGAAGGGGCAGGGCCAGGGGCTGAGGGCCGGGGCTTGAGGGGAGGTGGCTGAGGCCGGCCCGGGGAAGGGCTGTCCGGGCCCGGGGGCGGCCGCGGCGGGGGAGGGGAGCGGAAAGGCTGCCCCGCCCGAGAACCCTCAGGGCCGGCCCGGGCTCACCTGGGGCGGGCGGGCGGGGCGCAGATCAGCGAGTTCCCAGATTTCGGCTCTGCAGAGACCGCGGGAGCTGTCGGGGTGGCCAAGCAGGCCGGGGTCTGCCGTCGACCGCTCCGGACGCCCAGGCCGAGGACTCTCCGGAGGGGGAACGGCCCGTGAACGCGCGCGGACCCGGCTCGCGCCAAAAATTCCAAACCGGCCTCGAGGCCCCGCCCAGGAACACCTCTTGCCCCGCCCCCTCCTCAGCTGCAGCCCATCAGAGGCGCCCAGCCTCCCGGCCCCGCCCCTTACGTCCCTGCGTGCGCTTCGCCGCCCCGCCCACGCGTCGCCGCCCCGCCCACGCCGTTCCTCCGGCAGAGTGCTCTCAATGCGCGTGCGCATGGCGCGCTTGCCGCCGGCTAGGGCAGGGTGGCGGCGCGCCGTGTCCTTGAGGCCGGGGCGCGGCGCTCAGGCGGGTCCGCCTCCCGCCGGGTTCCCGGACACCCGCTGGCCCCACGCCCCAGGCCCAGCACCCACTGCCCTCGGTGGGCTGGCTTAGTTTCGCATCCGTACCAAGGACGGCCACGGCGGTGCGCGCGCAGGCATGGCCCCAGGGGGCGGCCACCGGGGGGCAGGGCATTCCCGCGTTCTCCTGGGTCCCCGCGGCCGGGTGCCCCGGGACGGCTGGCTCCCTCGTCACACCGGCGGTGTGCCGCGCCAGGGCTGCGGTGCGAAGCCCTGCGTACAAGCTCCCACCGCCGAGTGCGCGCTTCGGGGGCTAGAAACTGCCGCCTCTTCCAGGAAGCCCTCCAGACAGGCAGAAGCCTCCTGGGCCCGGCCTCGCCGGCTCGCTGCCCGCCTGCCAACAGGCTTCGAAGGCGGCTCTTCCATTCTCTGTCATTGAGACTGCGCTCAGCTCAACCTGGCCGAACGGCCTTGGGTGCACTGGGCTTTTCCGGGCGTGGGGCCAGTCCCCCTCCCGCAGCTCCCGCCGCCGGGACGCCCGCCGCAGTGCTCGGGGCCGGCGCAGACCGGGCGGCCTCTCCCCGCTCCTCCTCCGGCCTTATTCCTGCCGCCGCGCTGGTTTCTACCCGAGGTCCTCTTTGTTGACCCTCTGACCACCAGTCTCCCCCTAGCCCTGGCCACCCGTCCCCCAGCGTCCCTCTCCCGCGTCTCCGAAGGGCCACTCACGGCCAGGCTGCAGCACCCGGCGCGCAAGGACCAGCGCTCGGGCCACCGGCATCCGCCCGTCCCGGGAGCCCTTCCTTGACGTTAGCATCTCTGGCCGCCGCGCCGCCTGTCCCGGCCTGAACCCTGTGGACGACCCAGGCCGGTCCCCTCTCCAGCTGTCCAGGGCCCCCTGTGCCAGCCCGTCGCCAGCACAGCCTCGCCCCCAACTGCCCGGTCTTGAAAGTCTGATTCACAACGATTTATTTATTTTTGTTTATTATTATTATTATTTTTTTGAGACGGAGTCTCGCTTTGTTGCCCAGGCTAGAGTGAGTGCCGTGGCGTCAGCCTCGCTCACAGCAACCTCAAACTCCTGGGCTCAAGCAATCCTCCTGCCTCAGCCTCCCGAGTAGCTGGGACTACAGGCATGTGCTACCATGACTGGCTAATTTTTTCTATATATTAGTTGGCCAATTAATTTCTTTCTATGTATAGAGATGGGGGTCTCGCTCTTGCTCAGGCTGGTTTTGAACTCCTGACCTTGAGCAATCCGCCTGCCTCGGCCTCCCAGAGTGCTAGGATTACAGGTGTGAGCCACCGCGCCCGGCCTTTTTTTTTTCTTAACATTTAAATTCAAAAACATGCTTCCAGTGGAAATTTCGCCGTGAGGAAGGGCGGCAACATAAATGTGTCGATATAAATAAATACAGATAGCAGGCAAGCGCGGGGGCGGCGGTGTCAGGACGTGAGGGCTGCGACCCTCCCCGGCCACACAGTTTCCGGGTGCGTGCAATGGGGTGGTAATAACAGCCCCCCTTCCCTGCGCGGCGTGAGCACTAAATGAGAAAATGCGGCCCAAGTGCGTGGTACAGGGCGGAGCACACAGTAGGGCTTACGCGTAGTGTCCAACCACGACAGCAACGCCGCCTCCCCTGGACAGGTTTTGCAGGTTTCAGAGCTCCGCGGCCTGGGCCAAAAGGAGGCCCCTGGAGGAGAGGGGCCAGGACCCCCTACCCACCCTGGGGTCACAGGGACAGAGGCACCGGCCCACAGGGCTCCGCATGGAAGCGCGTGGCCCGGCTCTGCCGGGACGGAACCCTGCGCGCCCCACCCCGGCCCTGGACTCCCGGTCCCTCCCGCAGGTCCGGGCGAGGGCCGCGCGCGCCCCCGTGTGTCCCGTCGCCGCCACAGCACCGCGGAGCGCCCAGACTCTCCCGGAAGTCAGGCTCACCCTGATGGGGGCCACACTCGGACAACGTGACTTACGAGAGGCGGGAAAACGTGGACCACAGGTGCAGACGTGGCCACTCCAACGGGAGAGAGGGGACAGTGCCGGGTGCTTGTAGAGATGGTGTCTCACCTTCTTGCCCAGGCTGGTCTTCAACGCCTGCCCTCAAACGACCCTGCGGCCCTGCCCTCCCCAAATGCTGGAATGATAGGCGTGAGCCACCGCGCTGGCACCGGGTTCTGTTTCCTGACCTCCAAGCCGGTTGCATAGGTATTTGCTCCATAGGCACAATTGTATACAGCAGTCGCATCTTATGTGCGCTTCTCCGTGTACATGTATTTCACCCGTGCATAGATGTGGATGAACTGGGGTGGTGGGAAGAAGGCATTCCCAGAGGTCAGCTTTGCCAGCGTGGAGTGCCTGGGGGTGCCCAGGAGGTCCTGGAGGCCCCATGCTTGGGTCTGGGCTGAAGAGCTGCCCAAAGAGAGGGCGGCCCAGCGGCCTTCAGCACAGCTGCGGCAGCAGAAGATGCCTGCTCGGCAGACGCCCGGCCGCCCTCCAGCTGTCCTCCCCAAGTCCCGCCACGCAGGTGCTGCTGGTGTCAAGCAGCTGGCTGGGAGACACAGGCTGTGCCATTTTAGGCAACACACTTCCTGGGCCTCCGTCTTGCACTTCCCACACCCCAGCTGTCACCCTGTCCTCAGCCCCCAGCCATAGCCCCTCAAAGTGGCTCCTCCGTTCAGAGCTGGGCTGTGCCTCCCGAGGCCAGGGTGCCTGCAGCAAAGGGCAGCCCAGGCCAGGGCCCCCAGTGGCCCGTGTGCTCTCAGGCAAGCCCTGTCTGGTGGGGCTGGGGTGAGCTGTGGGGGCAGGCTGTGCTGGGGGCGGGAGTGGTGGCATTGCAGGGGCTGGGATACCCAGCTGGGCCCGGTCTGGTCCTGAGCGGCTGTCAGCTTGGCCCAAGGCCCCGGGCTGGTTGGCATTTTCTACAGGCAGCGGGCACGGCATTCCCACTGGCAAGCACCCATCCCGTACCTCCCGGGTGGCCCCTCCTGGTCTCCACGCCTGCTGCCTCTGAGCCAAGCTCCCCAGGCGCCCTGCAGAGTGAGCTGTACATGTCTGTGCAGGGGGCGCAGCCGTTCCAGGTCTGAAGCACACATTGGCCCAGGCTGGTGTGACTGGGCCTGCTGCCCACCCACAGTGGGGGGGGGGCGGAGAGTAGAGGACAGTGAACCCCAGACCCCTTGGACTGCCTGGGTTCACGTCCCAGCCCCACCACTTAGGAGTTACATGATATGAGCCATGCCCCTTCCCCTCTCTGCCTCTGTTTCCCCATCTGCAAATGAGGATAAGTAGTTCCTTGCACTGGGTGCGGTGGCTCACACCTGTAATCCCAGCATTTTGGGAGGCCAAGGTGGGAAGACCGCTTGAGGCCAGAAGTTTGAGACTAGCCTGGGCAACATAGCAAGACTCCCGCCCCTACAAAAATAAAATAAAATAAAAAATTAGCCGGTCTGAGGCGGGAGGATCACTGGGGCCCAGGACTTTGAGGTTGCATGAGTTATGATCACACCACTGCACTCCCGCCTGCACGACGGAGCAAGACCGGTCTCTAAAAATATAAAGAAGTAGTTGTAGTTCCTCCCAACAGCCCAACATGGGGGTGCTCTTACTGTCGTCGTTTTAGAGGAGAGTGAACAGGCTGAGGAAGGCTGGTTCCTGCCCAAGGCCCAGCCACATAGAGTGGGTGCTTGAGCACAGTCTGAATCCAGCATCCAGCCTGCTGACCGCTGGGCCACTCAACTGCCCTCCAGGAGCCACGGGAGCCAGCGCCTGCCACTGTGGGGTGGAACAGGTGGCCCCGCAGCAAAGCCCTCCCTGGCGAGTCTGAGTGGACTGTCCCAGCTGTCCTGCGCTCTCATAGGATGGTTGGGACCAGAGGCCAACCTGAGCCCCTGCCAGCAGCCAGCGGAAGGTCCAGCCTCCAAGACTCCCAGTTCAGGGCAAGAGGTGGCCCGGTGTGTGCTGAGCCGAGGCACCGGGGCCTGCCGTGAGCAGATGCGCCTTGTGCAAACGTGGGTCTGTGGCAGGGAGGTGGGCGCCTGGGCATGTTTGCGAGTGCATGAGTGCAGCAACAGTGCCGCCCATAGTGTGGGGGCGTGGGGGAGGGGCTGTGGTGGCCTATGGGCCAGGGGAACCTGGCCACAGCCCTGCTGTCTACTGGCCCCATAGGCGCTGTGAGCTCAGTTGCCTCTCATCGGGGAGCCCCCATTGCACCTTCCTCACTGCAGCCCTCTCCAGACCCCTGGCCTGCCCGGGCCGCCTGGCTTGGCAGGCTGGACTCATCAGCCACAGGTGCCAGGAAGGGCTGGCTGTGCAGGGGACAGGCCAGCAGACAGGGCTGAGTCACTGCCATCCCTGCCAGCCTGGTGGGGTCCACAGGCTTGCTGGGGCAGTGGCGCCTGGTGTCCAGACCCCCACTCCTGCGTCTC